CCAATGAAAAACTGACCTGAAAAATCGAATCATAAAGAAGTGGGGCAGGGGGCTGGAGAAGAAACAAGACAGCTCTAAGAATAGACAGCTGAGAGCAGGGAAGGGTCAAGAAACAATAAAGACACTAAAGCTCAGAAACAGCAGGCTGCGTCCCCCAGCCTCCACCCTGAAATAGCTGTTGAGGGAATCACTAACATTTTCACAAGATGGCATGCCTGAAGATGACATTACACTCTTTAAAACAGATTAAATTTTTAGACCATGCCTTTTAAAAAAGACAGATAAGCACATAATTGACTTTGGTAGGAGTCCTATCAAAGTATTGAGCAGGTTAGGGATACTGCTCAGTGGCAGATCACTTGCATTGCATGGGTTCTGTCTCTAGCGCTGCAAAAACAAGTGACTTAGCATCACGTCTTCAGCGTGTTAAAAGTCTGAACCTCAAATGCAGGGCGGTATCACTGGGCTGGAAATGGAACTCTGTCAGTCACAGAACCACTGCTTAGCATGGGCCAGGCCCTCAGTTCTGTCCCCAGCACCACACACACACACACACACACACACACACACACACACAGAAAGAAAAGCAAGAAAGAAGAAACCTCTATTCCCAGCTACTGCTATGATTAATGTGTAAAGTATGAGTGTCCAAACTTTTGACTTGCCTAGGAAGTACCAAGTAAATGGGATTGTCTTGGGCTGCATAGACTATATTATAAAATACATAAATATGTCACACAAATTCCATTTATTTATTTATTTATTTATTTATTATTTTGGAGTAGCAGGGCGATATCAAACTCAGGACCTTGCGCTTACAAGGCAGACAGCAGCCTAAATCCCGCCCCCCTTTTTATATTTAACTTAGTAACTATTTTATGAAATGAGTCCATATTTAATAATTACATAAGAAAGCTTCCATGTCTTCTTGAAAAGAATAAACACTCATTTCACAAGCTCACACACCCATAGGTGGGTTGAAATCCTATCACCAGGAATCACTACACTTCACTCACCCAGGAACGTCTGACACTCGTGGGCTTCGACACAGACTGTGCAGCAGATATAGGAGGCAGAGTCCACACCGCGCTTCCTCCTCCCCTCACAGCGTTACACTGTCACCTACACCTACGAAGTTCAAGCACTGTTCAATAGAGTCTTGAAAACTACGTAATGATGTTGAAAGTTCACAATCTTGAGGGACCACATTACTAGGTGTCCGGGGCCACGAGCTGCAAACATTTAGGTAAAGAAACCTCTCAGTTCTTTTCTATTATCCATGGAAAAATATGTATTTCAAACACATTAATCGTGATGTTTGTAGAAGCAGTGGCTTAAGACATCATCAGTTTCTTAACAGCTAAACAAGATAGTGTTTTAGTCTCCCTCATTGCTAATGTTTTTATATCTCCCAAAAAGATACAAACATGTGAAATGGAAATCTCTTCACCACAATATTCTCCCCGCATTTGCAAGGCAGAAAAAAGAAACATCTGTTCTTTGCTGCAGAGCTTACAATCCTTATTCTATGCTTTAAAGATAAAAGATGTTGAAGGAAGCCCATAGATACGTATATGATCACCTGCTTCCAAGGCAGCTGGCAGTTAACTGATCCAAATACATACACAATCAAGGCCAAAGAACTGGTCCCCTAAGGACATTAATGGTGCTCCCCAAGCCCCTTGTAACTTCCAAGACACCCATAAAATAGCAGAGTACAAGAGAGAAGCACATGTGGTGGCAGATGACAAGGAGAGTCAGCAACTGAGAAACAGAGGACCCTGTCAATGTGGATTCCTTCCACTGTTCCAAGTTTCCATGAAAGCTGCCTTAAAAAATCCAATTCCCCCTGGCCGGTGATCACCTTTCATTTAGTCCAAGGAAGGCTAGATTCAACCATGAAAGGAGTGCCCATTATCAACAGAAATCACAAAGATCCCCTAAGAGGAAGATATTACAGATAGGTGCTGTAACACTGTAAGATAGTTTTTCTTCTATGTATTACCTTCCAGTGTTGAATGAGAATAAGCAAGTGTTATCAGGCATGAATCAGTAGGCTTGGCTTTTATTTCCCATTCTGCCTCTGCATGAATCACAGAATGACCTTGAGAAAGTTATTTCACCTCTTCTTCTACCACCATTTCTTCCCAGTGACAAGTTAGGTTAAATCTAATGATTTTGTTTTTCTTGACTAAAGCTGAAGGAAGGAGATTAATGTATGGAAGCTCCTATACAAAATATATCTGCAGCCAGGCGTGGTGGCGCACGCCTGTAATCCCAGCACTTGGGAGGCTGAGGCAGGAGGATCGCTGTGATTTCGAGACCAGCCTGGGATACATAGTGAGTTCCAGGTCAATCTCAACTACACAGTGAGACCATGTCTCAAATATATACACATACATATACATATACATACACATATGTATATGTGTGTGTGTGTGTGTGTGTGTGTGTGTGTGTATCCACTATATCCAACTATCAAATACAAGGTAGGTAATGTCCATATAAAAACAACTAACCCTGTGCTTTCACTACACAGAATTAAAAAAAAAAAACTGCTTGGAAACCAGTCACGGCTGTGCACATGCCTACAGCCTGTAATCTCAGCAGCTGGGGAGGATGTGGCAGGAGGATCACAAGTCCAAGACCTACCTGGGAATTCAGCAAGTCCCTATCTCAAAATAAAAAGTTAAGAGAGCTGGGATTAGCTCAGTGTGAAAGTACCACACACACACTAATCTGCTTGGAGCGGTCAACAAAACCCAAGTGCTACCATAGGCTTCCTCTATGATCCTAAATTTCCAATTTGAAAATATGGTACTAGTAAATTTAAAGGACATGCAAGGTCCATGAATACACTTTGTAAGAGGAAACAAAATTTCGACCTATTTAGGGCCTATGATCTTTCAGAATTCTGTTCAATCCTCATCTGACAAGTCCTCCCTATCAGCCCAAAGAGATAAGCCACTATATCCTTGATGTTTTTAGGACCCTGTCTACACATCTGTGGACAGATATACAGGTAGATATATAGATTCTTGTACACTGAACTTTATTTTTCTTCTGATGCTAGAAATGCAACGTCGGATTCTCACATATACTGGGCAAGTACTATACCACTGACTTATACCTCTAATCCCTTCTCGGTACTCATGGGTGTCTCCTCTTCACTTAGTGAAACATTACTATGATTCAATAGTCTGTGTATCACACTGGGGATGTAGTTCATGGTAAAGTGCTTGCCTAGAGGCCCTGGGTTGCATCCCCAGCACCGGGAATAAAACAATCTGCGTAACACTCTCCACCTGGCATATTGCATGGCACAATGTGGCTGTCTAGTGTGTGTGTGTGTGTGTGTGTGGGTGTGTTTACACACATGTGTGTGTACTAAGGCATGTGTGCGCACACCAAGTGACTGAAGCAAATTTCCAAAATCTTATACCACTACTAGGAATAGCAATTATTAATATTAATCATTGAAAATCGTAATTGTGAACAATATTCATTTTGAGAAAACTATGTAAATGAATGTAACTCAAAGAGAAAATCCATGATTTCTCACCAGCACTAAATTCACAAAGATTGTGCTGAAAAATAGAGCATTGCCTACCATGTGCAAGGCCCTAAGTTCAGTCCCCTGGACTTCAAAAAGAAACTCAAGAATGTTCCACTCTTCTATCAAAAATGATCTTTCATTTTTGTGTGTGTGTATTTTGCTTTTGGTCTGTTTTTAGAATTTATCTAATGCATTTAAGACTGAATATCCTTTTAACTGAATCTGTACAATAAAGAAAAAGGAGGAAAGAAAATGAAAAACAAGCCCATATAAAGAGGTTACTTTTAAAGATTCTATAAATGCAAAATAAAAACAATACATAGATGAAAATGTAAAATGTAGCCCCCAAAAAGTAGCTAGCCCAACATTAACAGCACCTAGCCAGCTGAAGAGCCATCCTCAGCAAGAACTTTCATAAAAGTCATGTTCTACAGATAGCCTCTTTATTAAATAACAATATAAGATTTTAAAATTGCATTTGAAAGTGTCAGCTTTTCAAATAGTTATAGCAAACTTACCGCCACTGGCGAAAAAATTGTATTTTTTCCTATTCTAACACTCTATTTTACTTAATAATTAAAAGTAGTATAGAGAAAACACACGGATACTTAAGGGAAGGCCTTGGGACCTGTCAGCCTATGAGAAAGGATACGTTCATTTTACTACTTGGCATTTACCGCTGTAAACTCTTCAGGTGTGCTCTAGCTGTGTTAGACTATAACAGATGCTAAGAAAGAGGGTGTCAGTTGGACCTCATGATGCCTCTGACCTTCTCAACTTCACTGCTTCCTGGTCACAGCCCATTCTGATTGGACCATGAAACCAAATGAAAGCATCCCTACATTCTACTACGTATTCTCTTCTAATAGCACGTACAGGATTGGACTGCATTAGCAGTCACAAGAGTGACTGCTCAACTTGCCAAAGTAGTGGTACCCAGTTAGAACACTGCAAGATAAGAACTATGTATCACCTGCATACATGTTGCATGTGTACACGCATACACACGTATACACATGTATACGAGCAGTCAGAGATCACCTTTGTAAAGTAACGGAATGACTTACGTCTATAATATCTATCTTTAAAACGGATGGAAAACAATCTTGTTCTTTTAATACTGAGGAGTCAGAAAGGAGGGAATAAACTACAGCTTAGCTAACAAGGGTACAAAAGGAGTCAGACTGCCTGGGGGAACCCAGAACCTTGGACAAGAGTAGATATCTGGGGGAAACAAGCAGAGCAGCCCTTTCTAGAGATGACTCGGGACAAATACTCCCGAATTGCCCCCTTTATCACCCTGTAAAAAAACAAAACCAATGCGTCTATCCGAGGCACTAGGGTCACAGCCAGGCAGGATTCCCCAGCAGCAGGGGTGGGGGGCTGGCAAGGGGAAGACCCTGATTGGTAGGCGACCTGCCACCTGGAGGCGCCGGGCGCTCACCTGTGAACACGTTCTGGAAGCCGTCCGCTGGGGCCTGCGCCCCAGACGCCTTAGCTGCCAGCGCGGGGGTCACCCCGTCGCCGTCCGCGGCTGC